CGAGGAGGTTGGGGGCGCGGGAGCAGAAATTGGGCCTGGGAGACAGGGGTTGTCATTGCGTTTTTCCCTCCTCAGGGCCCTTCCATGGCTTCCCAGGAAAGGGTGGAGGCAGTGACCAAAGGAACTGGGTTCTGGCGCTGCTCCAAGCCAGCCACTTACACCCCCGGGACCTGCAAGCTGCTCAGAGGTCAGTGTGTTTAAAGGACCGGAGAAGAGTGGTGGTAGCAGGTACCCTCTGTAACTCAGTTATCCCTTACATGATCTGTGCTTAGCAATTGCTACTTTTATTTTACAGATAAGAAGCCTGGGGTTCAGAAAGGTTTGGGGATCCTACAACTTGCAAGTGGCCTAAAGTCAAAGAAATAAGAATTTTGAAGTGATTAACTCCTGCGCATCCCTTAGATCACACTTTCAATTTCCCCAGGGAAGCCTGATCTCCTGCCCACCCACCACCACAGTGGAACCAACAGTTAGTTCCCTGCTTTCACACTACCAAATACCCTTTCCTTCAATGGACAACACAACCTGGAGTCAGATATTTAGTTGTCTCCCACTGGATTAATATTCATCTACCCCTCTAGATCACGAACTCCATTAGGGCAGGGATTGTGCCTGTTTGGGCTCAGGATTGTAGCTCCAGCACCTGGCACATGCTTAATAAAATACTGTCCATTGGTTCACTCACTCAACGGCAAAAAAATTTTTAAACCTGCTTAATGTGCTTTAGACATTGTTCTAAGTGCCAGAGACACAGCAGTTAAAAAGAAAAGAAGAAAAAAATGGAGCGCTTGGGTGGCTCAGTCAGTTAAGCATCCGACTTCGGCTCAGGTCATGATCTCACGGTCCGTGAGTTAGGAGCTTAGCGTCGCGGGCTCTGTGCTGACAGCTCGGAGCCTGGAGGCCTGTTCAGAATCTGTGTCTCCCTCTCTCTCTCTGACCCTCCCCCATTCATGCTCTGTCTCTGTCTCAAAAATAAATAAATGCTAAAAAATTTTAAATTAATAATAAAAGAAATGAAAAGAAAAAAAAAACAGCAAAAAATCTTGCTCTCTCATGAGCTCATATTCTAGTAGGAGTGACAGTAAGTATATAGAATTTCAGTGATAGTAAGTGTTACAGAAAAAACAATGAAGCAGGAAAAGGAGGGAAGAAGTACTGAGGTGCGGAATGGGGTTAGGAGGGGATACAATTTTACACTAGAATAAGGTGAGATGAAGGGCTGTGTCTGCCGTCCGGGAGACCTCATAGCGGTGCTTTATCTTTGCAGTGATGATGAAGGAATCCAAACTGACAAACTTCCAACAGCGACACATCATGGACACCATGAAAAGTAAGAGGCAATCCACAGAGGCTTCCTGGGCAGAGGGACTCTGGACCACACTTTTAATGCTCCTCCATATTCAGGGGTTGGGGATCTCGTTTAAAAGGACCAGGGGCACCTGGGTGGCTCAGTGGGTTGAGCGCCTGACTTCGGCTCAGGTCATGATCTCACGGTTCACGAGTTCAAGCCCCACATCAGACTTACTGCTGTCAGCGCAGAGCCCCCTTCAGAGCCTCTGTCCCTCTCTCTCTGCCCCTTCCCTGCTTGGGCTCTCAGAAAGAAAAAAAAAAATCTCTTAAAGACCACAAAAAGGGTTACCTGGGTGACTAGGTTGGTTAAGCGACTGACTCTTGGTTTCAGCTCAGGTCCATCAGGCACCACGCTGATAGCCTGGAGTCTGCTTGGGATTCTCTCTCTCCCTCCCTCTCTCTGCCCCTCCCTGGCTCGCTCGCTCACTCTCACTCTCTCTCTCAAAATAAATAAATAAGCTTTAAAAATTTCTATTAAAAAAAAAAAGACCAAAAAAATTGAATAGTATTTTTGACCCTTGCTCCTGGGGAATTGATCGTTCAGGGCCTTTGTTTCTTTCTGGGACACGGGTCCTAGCACAACAACAAGCCTCTTGCCATCTGTCTCCAGCCATCCTTCCATGAGATCACAGCCCAGCTGAGACGTCCTGCCCGACCAAAATAGTCTCCACGTGGTCATGTCTGCAGTCTGTTACACAATAGGAGGAGTATGCAAAGGCCTCCCACCGCTCACCTCTGACTACCCATTGTATTAGTTATTTTTAAGGAAAACAACAAAATGTAAGTACGTGGGCACGGTAGCAAGGTGCGCCCTGAGATCTTGAAAACTACCCTGCTTTCTGAGGCCTCACTGAATCAGCATTTAATGGATGGGAACAGAGCCCTGTGAAGTTGCCTCTGAGAGAGAGAACGTCAGAACCTTCTCTGTTGAACCTACCAGAAGTGATTGCCTTACGCACGGAAGAGGGTGCCTGTGGGAGGGCACCCGAGCAGCCACAGAAGCGAAGGGAAGAGAGTGTCAGAGAGGCGAATATTAGCAGTGCCGGTCCAGCAGTGGCCAGGGGACTTATTGGGGACAAGGACAGCCCAGGCTGTCAGAGCCTGGTGCCTTCACACATCTGCATCATGTAACTCTATCTCCACACTCAGCAATCCACTAATAATCTGGTGGCCCCTCTAGCAGGACTGCAAAGAGAATGTGCTAGAAATTCCAGTAAATTCCAGGAAACGAAGGACTATGTCCGCCTTGTTCACCGCAGGACCCCCAGCACCTAGGTGCTCGATATTTACTGAAGGACTGATTTCATTAGGCAAGTCACTGGTTTGCCTGACAGTTTTAGTTTTACTCTCCTAAGTTTTCTTTTTAAAAACTTGTCTCCAGACATTCATTCGTGTTGGGTCTGCTTTCTTCTGGAACCCCGTCTCTTTTTCTCTCCTCTTAACCAAATCCTACTTGTGTTGAGGCTTCGTTCAAATTCTGTTGCTAGCCACAGATTCCTCTCCTTCACCTGACCTCCCAGAATTACTCAGGCCATAATCATCTGCTGAGGGTAGGCCGGGGGATGGGACGGCACACCGCACCGGACAGGCGGAAGGAGGGAGCGGAGGGAGCAGGAGGGACATTCTGGGAAGCACCGCGTCTCTCCAGAGAAGAGCAGGAAGGCCGTGGTGTGGCTCTAGGTAGAGGGTGTGTGAGAAGGGGCTCGTTTGTGGGGAAAGGTGGCAACTCCATCTTCCAGGCCTATGGGACAGACACCTCAGAATCATCCCTGACTCCTCCTCGTCTTTCTCCCCGACCCCACATCCAACCCGTCAGCGTGGGTCTGCTTGACCTTCAAACCATATCCTGACTCTGACCACCTCTGCCCCGGGCCCCCCCCGACACGGTACTTTCAGCAGCAACCAAAGGGTCATGTGACTCCTCTGCTCCAAACCCTCCGATGGTTTCCCACCTCAAAGTAAAAGCCAGCTGATTTTGGCTCAGGTCACGATCTCGCGGTTCATGAGCTCGAGCCCAGAGGCGGGCTCTGCGCTGACAGCACGGAGCGTGCTTGGGATTCTCTCCCGTCTCCCTTCCTCTCTGCCTCTCCCCTGCTCTCATGTGCTCACTCTCTCTCAAAAAGAAGTAAACATTAAAAATAAACAAACATTAAAAAAGAAAAAGTAAAAGCTGGTCTTTCCGGAAGCCTACAGGTCCCTGAACTTCTCTTGCCCTCCCTGACCTCTGACCTCTGCTCCCACTATACTCCTGCCTCGCTCACTCCATTCCTGGCCCCCTAGCTTCTGGCTGTTGCTCAGACATTCCAGGCACGTGACCACCTCACGGCCTTTGCTCTGGCTGTTCTTTCTGCCCGAAATGCTCTTCCGCAAAATACCTGCACGACAGAGCAACTCACCATTTTGGGGGCTGACCTCATCATGAGGCCTTCCCTGCCTCCCCTCTTTAAAATTGTAAATTCTGCTCTGACCTCCTCTGTTCCATCCCTGTACCGTCACTAACCAACTGTGTATTTTTCTTACTCATCATCCACACTCCTCCGACCCCAAATGTAAGTGCCGTGAGGGGACTTTGTCTTACTTACCACTTTACCCCCAGTGTCCTAGGCCTGGCACAGAGCAGATACTCGGTACGTATTTGCTGGGTGGGTGATAGAAGGCTGGAAAAGGTGGAAGAGGTAGATGGGGGGGCCAGATCAAAACAATGCAGGGGAGGGGCTGCTCTGAGCTGGGCTTTGGGGCAATTGAGAGCAGGGGCCAGTCAACCAGGTAGGAGGTGATACACTTGGCTGGCCTGGAGGGGGGATCCCCAGATCTGGGCCGAGACAGCAGGGAAGGACAGTCAGGGGGACTGGTGTGTATCACCATCGGAACCATCCCTCCCTACCTAGAGACCAAGCAGGTTTTAGGAATCCGCCTATAGAAATAAAAGCAGTCTAGAAGCTTGATGCACAAGAATGTTTATTGCAGCATTGTTTGAAGTAGCAGGGAAAAAAAGAAAAGGAAACAGCCTGAGTTTCTGAAATTAAAAGACTAGCTGAATAAATAATGTATCCATTCTACGAACTAGTATATAGCTATAAAAAATAAGTTCTATATAAATGAAGTGATCTGGAAAACTGTCCATGATCAATTGTTAAGTGAAGAGCCAATTACTGAATATAATTCAGTATGCTCCAGTGTTTGAAAAACGAAGCTCATATATGCACACATATCTTTGAACATGTTTGTATTAACATCAAAAAGTTCGGAACGAGACCACCAGATTAGAAGTTGCTCGTTATGGGGTAGGGGTGGGGGACTGGAGGGGAGAAGGGAAGACTTCTATACTGTTTAACTGCTTGTAACAGGCAGGTGTGACTTTTATAAATTAAAAAAAAAAAAAAAAAAAAAAAAAAAAAAAAGCCAGGTGGGTCCCCCTCCACCTCGAACCTTCCTTTCCCAGGAGGAGACACTCTGCCCCTCCAGTGCAGCCCAACATCCAGCCAGAGGGTCTTGCCTCCCAAACAGCCGGCCTCGGCCATCTACCTGCCTCCCATCCTGGTGGCCCGGCCCCACCTCCGGCCTGCCAGTGTGTGCCAAGCCGGCGGGGCCTATAGCCGGGAACCATTCAAGCCTCAAGCCACCCGTAAGTGAGAGGGCCTCGAGAGCCCCTCTTCCACCTCCCTCCCCGAGGGGGCCGGGGGCCAAGCGGCCCGTAGGGCAGGGCAAGTGTCTAACCAAATTCTCTCACTGTTTGTACTAATGTACTTGAGCCTGGGCACCTGTTAGCTTGGGGGTGTTCAGGGTGTAGAGGAAACCGGTGAACTGGTCCTTTTTCATTTTTTTTTAGAATTCTGTAATGATTAACTAGAGTCCACCAGTCCCTGACGAGTGTTTGGCTGTCAGATCTCAGGGCCCCTGCTCTCTTAAGGTCACACAGTCCCACACCGTAGGCACGCCAACCTACTTCCTGGAGCCTTTTGCCTCGCTCCCTACCTGGCATCCGGTGTAGCTCTTGGCCCAGACCTGCCGACAGCTCCACGTGGCCTCTACACACAGGCCGCCTCCACGGTGACCACAGTTTTCTTAGCCTCGCTCTGCACCAGAGCGTGTGGGTTCCAACCTTAGTTCCTTCGGCCCTTCCCCCTCCTGCCTGCCTGGACAGGACAAACTCAGGGGTTCCCGGGGTTCAAGGCGCCGGGACCCCGGAACAAGCATGCCCAACCAGGAGCTCAGACCACGAGTGGGGTGCCTCGCCTGCCTTAACTCGGCCATTTCTGGGCCCTGTAGGAGATCTGGAGAAAGAGAAGCGAAGACTCCAAAACATTTTTGCCACTGGGAAGGACTCCGAGGAACGGAAAAGGAAGCCCCCTCCGGGGCGACAGGAGGACCCAGCCCCTGAGCTGGACCGGTTTGAAGAATGTAAGCCACCGATGGGCCACCTAGGCCGGGAAGGTGGGCAGAGGGGTCCACAAT